ATATACTAAGTTGTTGGTTTTTTTCATCTAAAAAAAAGACGACAATAATTTCTTTATGACCGAATATTAAAAACCACCACACCAGATACATATTAGGTAGAGTAGACACACCTCATATTTCGTACATACTAGTAACAGAGCTTGTTTGGTTGCTGCTGTTAGACTGAGGGGAACTTTGGCCTTATCACTGACAGACAACAAAAAAAGAGAATCAGATTTGACCATGGTGCAAATATTTTGGAAGTATATGTTAGTGGAAAAGGTAAAATCTACATTGTTTTTGCTTGATTTGTAAGTTGTTTAATACTTACTTTGCAAATTTTGACTGAAAATGGTCTCTTATGACATCTTCCTTCCATCCTATTAAAATCAAACTAACATAGAGTGATACGTGAATGAATGTGTAACTTAATTTCTATTGTTCATTGTGAAGATATTCCAGCATTTAGCACGCATTTAGAATTTCATTTGTGTATCAGCACCTTTGGATACTACAGCACTGTGAGGTTGTTAAAATAATACTTTGTAGTTAGTATACCACTTCTCTCATGTGTGAACCTTCTTAGTTTTGATGTTTGATGGTTTCTTCCTTGTAATGACTATGGTCATGTTTATTGGCTTACAGAGTGTGTGATATCTGCTGCACATATGAATTTGCTGAATTTGGATGGGCCTCTTCAAAGAATCATAGAATATCTTTGTAGTTCCTGCATTGGCCATCCATGTCACAAGTAGAAGTCCACAGAGTGCTGACATGTGAATGAAAACATGTAGCTAGTGGTTAATGATAGCTGAGACTTGCTCACAACTAAAGTTTTAAGCTATGATGTACCAAAGAAAGAAAAATATGATAGTGTTACCATATGTAGTAAAACAATCATAATGCACATAAAAGAAGTCAATTTCTTTCCTGGACCAAGACTATCCACGATATAAATCAATGTTTTTAAATCTGTTTTGAGAATAAAGGTTTTTTTTCATTTTTGAAATTTCATTCCTAACAAAATGGTTATTTATCATCTACAGTTTATCTGTTTTAGTTGTACAAATGAATACATAAGCTACAAAACTAAGTAGTTGTCTATTTATATAAAAGAACATACCTCTGGTAAAACAGATAATACATTGAGTATTACACACATCTTCCCAAAAGGTAAAGTTATCACAAGTTATTAACCTGTTACAGTTAACCGAGAGCCTAGTGACTGCCAAACTGAGATTGATCTCAAACAAACAAATTTGGCAATTCTGGTTCTTAAATTCTAGCCTGTTCCAGCTTTTGATGTGTAATTTACTTATATACATTTTGTTTACAAAAGACTATTGTGGTTATTGAACACAAAAAATATTTTTTTTTTTTAATGTTACTGTTTACAAAATATATATTTCAAAAATTTTCTTTTAATAAAATGTTTTGGCATAAAATTATGGTATCTTCGTTACAAGAACATTTTCTTATGTTCTAATTGTGCAAAACAAAAATTAAAAAAGGATAAAATGTTACATCTATTCTAGCAATTTTTAATTTACGCAAAACATTTTTTTCAGTAATTATGTTGTGCCACTAATTTTTCACTTAATTTGATTACAGATATGATTAATTAAGTCATATTACATTTTTCTAAGAAGCTGAGGCTTACTGAGATCTTGCTACCTATTATACATATCCAACTAATATCATATGAAAATTCTGGAGCTTCTATTTTCAATTTTTGCAAATAATAGTGCCATTGTCATTCTCACATATGATCATTAGCATACTCAGAAAACAGCTCCCACAAAATATGCAAACATTACAATTTAAATAATACGAATAGTATTATACAAGTAGTAGTAACAGAAAACACATTTCACACAAACACACACACAAAAGACATTAAATTCATAACAATTAAATAAATGTATACCAACTTATAACATACAACTTTAACAAATAAGAAACCATGAATTTGCAAAATTAAGTAATTTACTAGAAAAGTTAAGTGAAATAATACCATTAAGTATAAAATAAACTTTTACTGGTTAACAGCAACTGCTCTTTATCAACAAAGATGGTCCAATAAAAGTATTTTTTATTTTAATATTACTTAGCTTATTTCTTTGTCAATTTTCAATCACCTTTGTATTCTCTTTTTTAAACTAAGTACCGAAATATACAAATATGAAGTTTATGTTTCAAGCTAATTTCATTTTTCATATGGTAAAACTAAAAGAATAATGTTTCAAACAAAAAAAGAAGACTTGGTACGAGACCTGCATAACAAATTCTCTCTGACGAGGCTCTCCTCGTTCAGCAACAACAGTGTAAATGGGCTCTCGCTCTTTTTTCGCTTGCTGGATCTGAATAAGCCGACTGATAGGGTTAATTCCTTGTCCATACTGTGGATCAGCCTTCTGTTCCTATATAATTATAGTAGTAGAGCATTATCAGTATAATATACAAAACCTTTATATTTACAGAACTTTTTAGATGTTTCAGAAAACTACAAACTGAAATTATTGTCATTATGGTTAATATCAGTTAATCCATGCACAGGCATTTTAACACTTGTATGCCTCTATTAGTAAACTAATAGTTATTGATTACCCATTATCAAAATTCTGAAATTTTGTGTAAATTTGAACTTTGGGAATGGTAATTGTTCATAGCAACCAAAGAACTGAAAATGTATTTTAATAATTCACCATAAGTAATTAAAAAAAAGGGGGCAAACCTCTATATATTTTTCATTTAACCTATTTATAAAAAATAGCATAAAACTACACACACTTGTAATAAAAAAGATGATATTCCTAATATATGTATAAATTCTTTCAATGTGTCAAATTCTTGAAATAAAGGTTGTTCAAATAGAGCCAACTTTTTTCCCAATACATGTGCTATATTAAAGTAAATGTGCAATAAAATTTGGAAACAGAATATTTTAAACAGTTCTACTGTATCTTTTCATTAACTGTTTAGAATTAAAAACTGACAAATGGATAAAATTCTTAAGGTATCACTTTACCACATATCAAAATAAGCTCTCTATCTAACCATAAAAACCAGAAAGTGTACTGCAGAGTATGCAAAAAAAAATACCTTTTTAAGCTAAAATATGATAAAAGGATTACAATATTTTGGGTACAACGAAAAGTGAAATTCTGAAATTCATAATGATGTAGCATCCAAAGAAGTTCAGTTGTCAGCCTGTTTACATAAAGATGCAATAACAGTAAGCAACGTATATTATGACACTAGTATAAAAGTTTGTTTTATTAAAAAATTTTAAAGTATATACATTGGCAGGGTTATATATTTTGAAAATGTTTGTCTTAGTGTATGGAATTTTAATCATTCCCAAATTATGAGGATTCAGGCCAAACATTGACTAACATTTCTCCATCGGTAGCACAACTTGACAGTCTTAGTCATGTTTTTTCTTAAAGAAAATAAATTCCATTTTTCATAACCATTTGTGAGAAATGTTCTTTAAAGTCATTCAAAATGTATACAAAAGTCACACATGTAGGTTCCTTAAGTTTTGTAACAAGATTAATACTAAAATCAACAACTAATATAGCAATATTTTTCTTCTTAGGCATTCTATTCATTGCGATACTTTGTAGGTGAAACTAAGCTTTTCCACAAGAATATTCAAATTGCAAATATCTGAAGACAAACATACTATTAAAGAATTGAATTGTTTAAACATGTACTATGGTTGTTGTGCATACAATTATACAGTCTTTTGCTACTTAATGAGTTATATTTATGGAATAGAAAGTGATGAAAATATTTAGCAATTCTTATACATGTCTAACGACCCTTTGTATTTAATCCATACTATCTTTGATCTATCCTTAAAGAAATAAGTAAGGCCTTTAGATGTACCTAAATTTGCATGAGAGCATCTAACAAATTTTTTCCAAAGAAGTTAGTTCAAGTTAAGGCTGAATACAGCATTAATTCAAACATGTAAGAGCCTCTAACAGTAATTACTAATGCTATTGCATAGCCAATGATATATATATATATATATTTTACTTTCTCTATAGATGTTTTTTAGTAAATGATTAAACAACTTCATATTGCACCATAGCAAGGTTTCAAGCAAGGCCTGTACAAAACTAAGGGAATTGTTTGAAAATCAAGAAATGGATAATATACTCTCAATGAGTGGTAGTTCTAAGAAAAAATAATTATAGTAGGTTGTTCTGCATCTGTGCAGAAATGAAAATATTAACTTTTTCTTTATGACTTACAATAAATGTCAGAATCATTAGTTAGAAACATAAAACAGTGTTAAAAAATGGAAATTTACACTAATACTTAATTAGCGAGAGTTGATGGTGAACACTACCACCCAGTTGCTTTCCCTCTAGTCAGCAATTCAAAATTAGTGACAATAGCAGACAGCCTCAGTTGCTTTGCAATAACAAAGACATGATGAGTAAATTTAGTGGCAAACTCTCAAATCACGAAGTGAAGCATCTCCCTACCCACAATTAGGTAACTTTGTGTTAAACACAAACCAACATAATGGTAATATTTCAATTACTTGGAAATTCCAAACAATCGAAAACCTCAATTTCAATTAACTGATTATTCTGTGACATTAATAAATTAATAATTACCTTTGATTAATCGATTAGTTTATGGGACACTAACTGATGTAATTGCCACTCATAGGTAATTGATTAAATTGACTAGCTCTACTACAAACCATGAAATGATCAATATCTAATCACCAGTCCAGAACCTTATTGTAAGTACTTTAAACAATATTTACAATACTTTTTAAAACAGAATCAAATTTCAAAAATTAGTTTGTCATTATTAATAATGTCCAGAAAGTTCTTAATGTGCATGTGGGTGGTGTTTGAATCCATTTAAACAGAAATTATTACAAACATAAATTTCATAATGTATTTTTAAATAATAATAATATATATATAAGAATACTGTAATAAATTGTAAACAGTTTACTCAAACCCACAAGTAAGAGAATGTTATATTTGACAAGCTGAAGAGAAATGTACTCAAATGCGAGTAGGAATAGTCATCTATACACAAAAATGATTTTTCTTAAGATAAAATTAGGAAGTATAGTGTATAAATAATATTTCAGTTGTATAATATTATCTCCATATACAACAGTTTTGAAATAACTACAAAAGTTAATACTATAAGCAATACGATCATGTTCAACAGAAGAGCCTCAATAACTTTAAGCTAAATGATGCACTGTGTATTTCAGAACTGAAGTGTCATTAATAAAATGTTCTGACAAGTTTATAATCTATTATCTAAAAAAAAACAGATTACTAAATTAAAATCCCATTACTCTTTAACAGCACAAACAACTTTTAGAAGCCTGCAAATAATACATATGGTATAATTTTAAACAGGCTTTTGGCATACTTCAAAGTTTATATTTCAATGAAAACAAACAAAAAACAATTAATAGATGAATCTAAGTGATGAACAAAACATTCATTGAGGCATATAATCTTTATTGGTTCAATATTATCTGGTGAGTAGATTGCACACGTATTATAGTTTAAAGTGATTTGAAAATATATTCTTTCATTTTTATTGGATTTTCTTTTCACAGAATTTTTACAGCTTTGCTAGAGAGAGATGAATATAAGATGAATTATTTTTATGTGAATTAAACTGAAAAAAGAACTGTGGGCTACCTTGTGTGTTATCAATGGAACAGCAGCTGGAAATTACCACATTCAGAAAATCATATAATTTTCTATGACTAATAACTTCATGGAGTTCAAAGGTCTTACAAGTTTCTTATCTTGACTAAGACAATTCCAATTTCTGACAAAAGTATGCTGCATTAAATAAAAACTGAATGTATATTGTATATACTGAAGAAATGCTTAAGTGAACTCCTAACTTTTAGATGATTTACAAAATACATAAATTGTATATACTTTTATACAGTACATACCTGTATTTACACACACACACACACACACACATACATACAGATGTATAAATAGTGAACACATATACATATAAAAACAGAATGGTCTTGTTGGCATATCCACTATATAATTATCCTAAACATTTTAAGAGTTCCTATTTTCTCTCTTTCTAAAAATATATACAAGAAATTCACTTTATTAAATAAATGGTTTAAACTGATTTCGTAAAACACACACACAGACCAATTTCATTACCTTGATTAAATTGCGTCCCTTTTTTTTACCAAGTGGCTTTTTCTTTATTTTTTGTTGCATGACAGGTAATGATGGCAATGTCTTGAGCTCTATAAGCATCTTCTCTGCTGCTCTTCTCTTTGATATTTTTTTTCCATTTCCCTCTCCTTCTGTAACCAGCTCCCCTACAGAGCAGCGGGTGACAAAAATACGCATATGGGGTGGGCCACTTTCTCTAATGACTTCAAAACTGACAGAAAAGCCTCTTTTTAAGGCAATTTCATGAACTAAACTAATTGGAGATTTCAGTTCTACATTTGGATCAAGCTCTGGCATTTCTTTTACAGTTTTAGAAACCTCAATATGTTTCTTTGTATGTTCTTGACAAGGAATTTCTTTTAATGCTTGCAAAGCTTTTTCAGCTGCTGCATGCCTTGCTGCTTGAGTTGTGGTCCCTTCCCCAAAAAACTGCTTGTTCCCTACTTTCAGACAGACATAGCACATTAGAGAAATTTTTGGGCAATGATAACGTTGGTTGTACATCCCACGGAAGTTGAAATTGGGCATCAATGCGGGACGGGGTGGATCGATCAGTTGGTAGATTGCAGGTTCTCCCCATTTCATGGCAAGTGCATTCAGTTCCACAGTAGGAGTCATTGGCCCCTGACTCATTTTTTGACTCTTTGGAAGAGGATGTTTAAGGGAAGTTCTATTTAGTGCCACAGATGCTGCTGCATGTTGTGCTTTCTTAATGCTAGGTCCCATAGCAGTATATTCTTCATTATCCAGTTTCAAAACAACAGTAAAATTTTTTTTGTGAGCAGGACCAGATTGATCTATGAGGCGATATTGATGCTGAACCTGAAAACCACCAAACAAATGTATATAAAGTGTAATCCAGCAGTCAAATTTAATATGGTAAATCTTGGAATTCATCAAATTTGTGAAGCCTCTATGTTTATGAATCCTTAAAATATTCTAAGAGTTGATATAGATTTTTGTTTTAGCTCTATTAGTATTTGACAAGCCAACTCAGCTTAGCATGTGTAAAAATGTCTGATTTTTGATCAATCACCAACCTGCTATTTATAATAAAAAACAGTATTAAATTAAAATCAGCATTAAAAAAAAGATAAAAGTAAAAGTAGTAATAATAGCATAGAAGATAGTTCTGTGAAATTTTAAATAAACCAATCTCTGCTTTAACTTTGTGCCTAGAACCAATGGCATGAAACAAATTTTGCTAGTTGTTGTAAATTAATATTCTTAACTTTATAGAAGACCAACAGACTTGAGAACATCAAAAATATAGGAGTCAATGTCCTAAACTTTGAATCTCAAACTCACAGGATTTCACTAAATTATATTCCTGCAACAGCAAGATGCAAAACAACAGTGTAATATTCATTAGGTGTTTAATAATAAAATAAAAAACCTTCACCATTCAATAACAACAAAGTTTAGACATAAATACATAAAAAAGAAAGGTTTACTAAAATGAATGGGACCTACTAAAATAAATACTGAATCTACATTGCATGTAAAACTTAATTAAGATTTAGACATAACTACATAAAAAAAAAGATACAAGTTTTTAATTTCTCGTAGTTTTTAATTCATCAGTCATAGATGCATCATGTCACCAAATGATACTGCAGGAATTTGTTAGTTAAATTTTAGTTATGATTTTTAATCATCTAACTGTGTTTAGGCTGTCAATTGTTGCTATTTTTCTGGTGCAATCCTGACAAGAATATTTCTGATGTTCTACAATATTGTGGAATTCAAACCAATATTCACTCGCTTGGACTTTTACCTAATTACTAGCTGGAGTAACCATCTAATGTACAGGTGAAACAAAAACTCATTTGTAACAAAGGATAGAAAATTGTGCTTTTATTTTTCTTTTCTTAACACAATAAATATTAAAAGTGCAATAAAAATGTATAAGGGTACAAGTACTGAAAAGAAAGACATACTGTTTTCAACAATTCTAACAACAGTGATTACATAGTTCATTCTAATGCTGAGGGATATACAACATTGGTAGTTTTCCTAAAATAAGATAAGAAATTAGATGGGGGGGGGGGGCAGGTTTTAGAGAAGACAGACCACAAATTTTAACTTACAAAAATATCTCCACATTGATGTGATTCCTTACACAAGTTTTTAACAGTAAATAAACATTGAAATTACACAGTCTTTGCAAATGAATGTTGACAAAATTTACCAAACACCTTAATATCTCGTTAATAAATGATTGGAAAACTGTCTGTTTCAACTTAGGCATTTTTCTGTTGTTGTTTCTCAGATTTTTAGTCAGGGATTTCCCATGCATTGATATATATTGTCTTTTTAAAAATTTTAAAAGCAATTAAACATCAAAATGTTTGCTAAAGTGTTAGCAATATTTGATCTAAATAAAAAACAAGTAAATACACCATCAAGACTAGGACTACAAGATAAAGTTATCCAATTTATTGTGGTTTCAAATGACTCGTTATATTTTGTATCAGTTCAGAAATTTATAGCTTTCTTAAGATTTTGTTTTATTTTGCAGGTAGCAGAAAATTCCATATAATTGATTTGATTCCATGATTTTGTCTGTATACTTAACACAACTTCTATAAGACTATGTGTATGCGATCTTGCAAGGTCTAGGAAGATTTCCAATGAAATGGACCAATTGTCAGGCAGAAAAAAGTGATTATAGGCCAATAACTAAACTTAAAAACATTATTGAATCAATAACTAATAATATTATTATTATTATTATTATTATTATTATTATA